CAAATCACTGGAAAGAACCTGCTTCAGTTTGATCCCAACGAAATAGTTTTTTAAGAAGAAAGATCTTTAATACAGTAGTTATTATGGGGATTACTAATTCAAATGCTCCTGAAAATGGCAGTTATTCTTCATGTCAGGACAAATAATTTCATTCTCTTTAATTCATATATGGCTATTCTGGACTCAACAGCTGGGAATACATTTTTTATTTCATGATAAGTGTACTTTATCTAAGTCTATGGAAATTAACTTGCACAATGTAATTTCTTGTTTCAGGAAATTGTTGACATGTTAATTTGTAACTGGGCACTCTTTTGATTGAGATATATTTATGCTTATAAATCCCTCGGATATGATACAGACTCCATTATTTTCTGAGGCAGTGAACCGAAAGATAGATATATCAATGAACCCAAAGATACAAACATTGCTTTATGAATAATCCAAACAGTTTGATGAATGTTCGAGCTTTCTGACATGAATGTAGCCATAGTTTTGACTCGGGCTGCCATTTGTCAAGTCCAGGGTGATATGGGGTCTGGATTATGGCTTCCTCCATGTGGTAAACTTGTTTGTGGTTTGTTTTGGGGATTGGCAGAAGTTTCGGTCTATCCTTGGTTATGGGGTTTTGTTAGTAGCTAGGCAGCTATTTTTGGCTAGGACTAGGTCTGGTTCCTCTGTGGATCATCCCAGGAATAGTGAACTCTATGTCACTTTCTTTATTACTCATACTAAAGGTGTAAGAAAGTAGGCAGTTATTTCAGACCAGTCCGCAGGCTCAGAGACTGCTGAAGTTGTACTGGGAATATTCAGGGGGGAAATGAAGGAATCCAGAGTCAAGAATGTAAGTAGCCTTTCCAACAGAGCAGAAGTAATGAAATTGACTGGTGTAGCCAGGGAGAAAATGATGTGGTTTGTTAGTTAGAGAAGAACTGTCAGTGTCTGGAATGTATCTGTCTCTCTCTCTGTTCATCTGGACAAGCAGGGTTATGTGTTGTTTTAGGTGATGGGAGGAAAATATTAGAGATCGTGACTAAAGTCAGCATGCTTTTATGTTAGGATTCCACAGGAATGGCTAATTCCCCACTTCAAAGTCGTGGGATTTTTATGTAAACATTAGCAGATACAGAGTTTTTCATTTCACTGTTTTTGAAAGGCCTGTTATTACTTTGAGGGAGTTAAACTGGTTTTTACCTGCAGGTTTCTGTCCTTTGTTTGACATTTATCTGTCTGTGTCAAAATGATGATTTGAAGGCATATTTACATTAGGGAAACCTCTAGTCAGCTCTTTTTGTGAGCTTGGGATGAAGTTTTTCTCTGGTCAGAAATTCTAGGCTCAATCATTTCTCTGTATGTGTGTAGGACTTCCACCAGGGGATGAAGATTTTCTTTGTTCTTTGAAAAATAATTGAGTTTTATGCCTATTTATTGTTGTTATGTAAAATTAAAGCTGGTTAAACATTTTCAGCTATTTTTCTAAAACAGTATTATGTAAGAGTAGGTTTTATGTGATTGTGGTATTACTGAATAAAAAAAGAAGCTATACAAGTTAAAACATAAGAATAATAGTCTTTGAACTAGCTTCAACATATTTCTTTATGGACAAGTGGTTTCCACATGTTATTCTTAACCACTTGAAAAATAGCTGAACAAAAATATATTTCCCTTTTTTTTCATCCAGGGGGTTAGGCTTTTTTTTTTAAAAAAAAAGTCAGTCTGAGTGATTTTAATTTTCAGTGTTTCAGCTGGCCTCTGGGCTGTGCAGTATGAGAAATGGCAATTACAGTGGCTGCAATTAGCTTTGAAGTGACTGTTGAAAGGTGGTGATTAGCAATGCCCGATCCTAATCTAATTAAGGTTGGCAGGGGTAGTTCTGATGATAGAACTGGACAGTAATAGATATGAGTGCTGAAGGCAATTCTGTATCTGCACTCAAAAGCTGAGTCTGCAATGTGTTACAGTTCATTTTTTCAAAAAAATTTGTGTATATACAGGCCAGTGTTGCCCATCACTGAGTTAATTATAAAAATTAATAGGGCTATACTATTGTGCACTAGAAAATTGACATGATGTCAACTGGAATTGCCTGACATGAGATTTGAAGAGTATCCTCTTTTGTTTTTTTATTCACCGAATCATCAAATTGTAGATATCCAGATTTTAATATCTATTACCCCGTTCACACTACGCTCAGTTATCCGGATAAGTTGCGAATTAGGTCACAATTCGAATAAATGCAGTAGTGTGAACGCAAGAGGATTTTGAAAATGCGCATTTTCAAAATCCTGCAAGCGAGGTGGATTTCCAAGCGCGATCCGGATAACTTACCGGAATCGACACCTGTACAGATCTTACTGCGCATGTGTGCAGATAAGTGCGGGTATCTATGAACGCTGGTTTATTACTTTAGCGATTGCACCAAACATATTTGGAGGTCACCACTCACTACAACATAAGGAAACAAACTTATTTTGCCACCTTATACTTCTCAAGAATGCTGGAATGTCTTTTGAGTTGCCTTTGTCGTCACAAATTTTTGTTGATATATTAAGATTTCCTGTGCGGCGCATGCGCGAGTGTTCAAAACAGGAAGTTAAACCTGAAATTTTCAACGTGGGATTCGGATTCGCTTAGCGAGTGTGAACGCAATACCGAATCGGATTCCTTACGAAAAATCCGAATTATAGAAATGCGCATTTTGGCAACTGTAGTGTGAACGGGGTATATGCCTCCCATTTGTTTTAAGTGATTAAATTTAAGGTACTGACCACCATACTGCTGTTTCTGCCATTTCAACCTTTTCAGAACCATACCTGGCAATACCTATTTGCCTTATGCTGGTTTCTAGGAAATTTCCACTGTTTGGAACAGTAGTAATCCATGATTGCTGTAGTCCATTAACATTAACTTGGCTGAATGAATGCTGTCCTGGCTGAATGAATGCTGGTCCCTTGAGTTATAGCATATAAGGTTCATTTTATTTTATTTTTTCAAATTGGGGACAAATCAGCAGAGTTTTTATGAGGTATGAGTTATGGGATAAAAATCATATATTCATTGCTGAACATTTTACAGCAGTGTGTCTTACTGGTTTCAAGGAATTACATGTGATTGGCATTTGTTTCCAGTAGTCAGTTGGATTTCTCAGCATGGGCTCTATGCTGGATTCACCTATCTAGTCAATTCACATTTCGAGCCTGACCAATCTTTTTTTTTCCAAAATAATGGCAAATCAACCAAAATTGCATAATTTTCCATTTTTGTGTCAAATGGAATTGTTTTACCAATTGGGAACGTTCTTGTATTTACTTTAGTAAGTCTATGTTGCTTTTTCTGGTTTCTGTGAAACATCCAATGATTGACATGCATTTGCAGTTAGCAGTTGGTTTTAACTGCACAAGTACTGCATACATGCTGGCCATATAGCTAATACAGGTAGGGTAACTGTTCATTTATTTTCTTATGGAATTAGTATCATTTGAGTTTATTTGGCTGATTCAGAAAGAAAAGAAAACTAAGAGAAGACAGTATTTGTGGATGAAAACCTAGATGCTAACAAAGTTTTTACAGAATTTTATTGCACTTAATGCAGTGAAAAAAGTTTGTGTTGCATATTAAGGAAAAATCCTTAAATGTATTTTTTATTTGTTTTATAATAAATTTTGGTACATAATTTATAAAACCAATTTGTGAATATAAGCTTGAGTATTTTAGCTCCCTAGAAATAACCTCCACTAGATCTCAATGTTTACTTGTATGTCTGGTCTCGGAGTTCATCGGAAGTGCAATGTTCCTCTGAAATCCAGGTAATCATGATGCAGAATGAATGACCAAGCCTTAAAAACCTCATTTCCTGGAAATCAATACTATATAACTTAAATGTGTGTACATTCCTCTCCTGTGCTCCCATATCTAGGTAATAGTGGCTCTCAGACCAATCCTAGGACACATTAGGGCAGTTCACATAGAGCCAGTTTTATAGCGGTTCCAAACTGGTCTGGAATTTGTGAAAACCTAGCAAATGAAAGTTAAGTTACTGAAAACATAACTATCTCATTTAGTCAAAACTGGATATAAAAGATTGACCATAAGCTGCTAACTCAGTTAAATGTGCTATAATGTTGTCATTATCTCCCAATTTGTTAAGACTGCTTGAAAACTGATTATAGGTAGATGTACCTGATTGCTTATGTGAACAAACCCAAGGACCACTCCTAATAGCCTGTGATCTATACTACATTGGGTTTTAGTGAAAGAAAAGTTAGGATGAAGCAGGTGTCTGAATGGATGGATATTGGTGTGTTTGTGATAACAGCTTTGTGTATTGAAGATGAATATTGTATTGCAAGGTGTTGAATAATACATTGTTTGGAAGCTTGGGTGAAATTGATGCTATAGAGGAAATGATGATAAAGGTTATTTTCTTGATCTGTCTCTGTCCAATATCTGAGGTTCACGTTTTTATTTCATCTTTTATTGAGAACTTTAAGAAAGGTATTTTTCTCATTTACTTATCAATTTCACATGAATGTCCAGATTATTTTTACATCTATGTAAGAAATATCAAATTTTCACATCTCCAAGTCAAAGCATGTCAACTGGTGGTTTTTTCTCTCTGCCACAAAGATAATACATCTAATAGACCGGATATGTGGTGGGGGTATGTTTTCATATTTACAAAACATTCAATGCTAATGTTGTCCAAGAATGTTCTTAAAGCCACATAGACCCACACACTTGGTTTGTACTAATATGTATACATGTCCATTTGGCAAACATGGATTTCTTCAGGTCCAGTGGTTGAGACATGTAATATTCAAAAGAACCAAAATAATTCTATGATTACTAATTGGGTTTTTGGTTGGGGAAGTACGTACATATTTACTCAAATTTAGACCTAATGTTTCCCATGAATTGTCACCATACCATGCACCAGTGGATTGTACTAGCAATGACCCCTGAAGTCTTGTACTTTGCAATGACACAATAAATAGGAATTCTAAAACTGCCCCCATTTAGCATTGCTGTCATTGTGAAACAAACCTTTTACCCCTTGCACAAATGAAACACCTGTTTCAGTGGCAATACAAGGATTCCTGTTAAGATTCCAGTTCACATGTCGCTTGTAGAAATCGCTGTTGTTGCCAGGCAGTGTGAGGCTTTCTGCCTCTGCTGCATGGCTGATGTTTGCAATGAAAGGCTAGATGACAGGAGGGTGGGGACATTCCTTCGAAATATTAGTTTATCGGATCACCCATTGTTATTCTGTGGAGGTAGTCTGAGGTGAACCTGGAAATAGGAAGGCATTATCTGAATGTGTCATTATAGATCCTCAAGGAAATAATGCTGTTGAAATGCCTGCGGAAATGAATGACGAACTGGGGACACCATGGGCACCATTGAAAGAATATGCTATGGTATTGCCTGGCATAATTGTTTCTATGAATGTGCAGAAATATGGCCTCTGGGGAATAATTCTGGGAAATAACAGCCTGTGTTTGATTAGCAACAGTGTGATTCAGGAAGTGGTCTGTTGCTAGGAGCCGTCTGTCATCCAGCAGATTATATGTAAATAAAGCGAAGGTCTCTGAAACTCTGAGGACATCTGTGAGAGGACATGCTTTGCCTGAGGGAAGACTGGAAATGGGAAAATAAGGAATGATAAGACACTACAGCGAGTACATTATATGTGAAAATGACATGCTGTGACTTTTACGGTCTGTCAGTCATTATTTGTTTAGTTATCAGGACATTTGAATGCATGTTCTAAGGTCAATCAAGGATAATAGACATAGTTTACCAAAGGAGGAATACAGTGTATCAAGCAACATCTTTTGCTCTACAAATATTCAAGATGAAATAGGATTTGCATTGTATTTCAGTATTTGAGATCTTCTTGAATTTCTAATACTTCTGTATAGATTTATGTAACAATGATAGAGGCAACATTATTGGAGTTTGATTTTCTTATTAATGAGTTGGCAGCTGAGTTGAATTGTCTGTCCAACAGGGAGAAGATAGGCTCAAGAAAATGGAATGGACCTTTTCAAAAGCAAAGTCTTCCTAGCTTCTGTGGATATTTGCAAAAACAGAACCATTTGGATTGTTTTGATGCTACTCAAAGTTGCATACACATACAACTTCATGACCAGGTGATGTGTAACAATCTTGAGTTCAAGATAAAATTTAATATGCTCAAAAAACAACCTGATAGTCATAAGTAAGTAATTTGAAAATGATTTATAATTAAGAAATGAATGAAAATGACTAAGAAACAAACTGTTTGAACAGTCTCTGAAAGAGAATGTCTCTGAAGGTCTGTTTCCAGTCTAGATAGGTCAGTCTAAATTAGAACTGTTACTGCACATCTCACTGAGCTGTCTGATTATGATAAGCCCACCATTGGGAGAAATTCCAATCCCTCTTTTGTCCCACACAAACCCTTTTTTAAAAGGTTGAGGTAAGTTGTATGCCATAAGATTGGCTTCCTACCCATGGGCTGATTTCACATAAGACTTCAAGACTGAAAGTTGGTTTTAACTTTCAGACCAAACATTTTTGTCAGTTTCAGTGCAAGATAAATGTGAAGGTTACCACTAAAATGAAGTAACTATTGCTTTAACTGTTTCTTTCTTGCTATGAAACAGATTTATCCATCTCCACTGGAAACCAGCTTTAGTTAATTTGATGGTTTGCTTTTCTATAACCATGTTTTAGTTATCAAAACCTAATTCTTATTAAGTTTTAGGTGCTTGTTTACAGTGTGCACTAATTCTGCAGTGGAGCAAAAGAACATTAATTGAGTTTATCCTTCTTTAAGTGTTTTTATTGCTTAAAGCCCGTTTTATATCTTTGCTAAATCTACATTAAATAGTATATAATGTCAATTATGTGAGGACCACATGAGGCGTGTGTGGTGGTCTAAATCTACATCTTTTATACGTCTGTTCTAAACCAGTTTTAAATTTGAAATGAATCTGTCTACAAAACAGGAGGGTGCACATTGCATTAAATCCTGCAAGGTTTACAGTTTGTTGTCAGCCTTTTTTAAAGTTGATTACAATCAGTCTCAAATGGAATCTGCTTGACCGTACTAAGGACCCATCATGACGTAACTTATTCAATATATATATATATATATATATATATATATATATATATATATATATATATATATATATATATATATATCTTGAGAAACTTGACACGGCATTCAAGATCTGTCCAGAAGTATTTTGGTTAATTGTAATGTGAATGCCTTTGCAAACTAAACCAACCAAAATGTACTTAAAAAGAGCAGAGTTAGTGCAGGTGTGTTTGTATGACTTATAATAACAGTTAGTGTTCATTTTTTTTCCTCTCTCTCTATTGCAGTTATTGAGCAGTATCTCCACTGACCTGGACATCCTTCTGAACGACTTGTGTGACAACAACTTCCCTCTCATTTATCCAGAGGAATCGCCAAGGAAGGATGTCAGGTAGGTATAGATTAGTGGTTAGAATTAGATTTTAGGGGTGGACGGAAGCTGTCATCTGGGTTTTCTAGAAGACGGTCAGAATTTTTCAAGTTTACATTGAGAGGCATTTTTTTTGTGTGTGTGTGTCAGAAGATGTTAAAAAATGGAGGATGGATCAATGAAGATAATTTGGAAGACTGTCAGAAAATATCTCTGGATCCACCCATCTATTTTTCCATCAAAACTGGGCCTAGGCTTGAATTGTTTCTGTGAAAGAGGCCCCAGGTGATATAAGAAAAGAAAAAAAGAGAAGCGAAAACTGATTGTGATATGTTGTAGTCAAGATGATTTATATCCTGAAGTGGAAATTTGAAGAGTCAACTAATTAATTTAAGTAATCTAAGTAATTTGATTATAATGGTATTTATTAACATTAATGTTGGTCTGTAAAACCATTTAAAATGAGGAAGAATGATTTACTGATTTTATAATTAAGTAGATATGATAATATCTGGAGTTGCTTTATTAAGTATGGAATGGACACAAAACATGTTGACAAATCTTAAAACAATAATTTGCGTAAATGTCAGAGGTAGAGACCTTAAGTCCATTTTTCAGTGACAGAAAAGAGAGATGAAGTTTTTATTTCAGTTCTTGTAGTCTTTGCTCTCTGCCATTTTTCTGCCTTACCTCAAGCTCACACTTTTAATAAACTACAAACTTATAGACTGATCTACAATCAGTGCACAGTTCTAACAAGCATGAGTGAAGGTACCAAAGCACAATCATCTGATTGATAGACCAGAATTTGTGAAAAGACACAAAAATAGAGAAAAAAAGAACATTCATATCAGGTTGCTGATATTTGTCTATGTTAACAGAAGAACAAAAAATTAACAAAGATATTTATATTTGAAACATTTGCTTAGTACTGCCTATTACTGTGAGAAACAGTACTGAAATCAAAACTTGTGCACATACAAAAAATAGAGATAATGTAAGTGACAAGATGCACATTGTTTGAGTTGATAAAACTCCCTATCAATTTTCAGCCATAACAACGACAAGATTTGAAAATCAGATACTAGTGAAAGTAAACATACACAGGAGATTATTTAGAAAGTGAAACAGTAGTCTTGTGATGTTTTAATGGTTAAGTAATTTTTTTTCTGAAAGTAGCCAAATAGCTTATTAAAGTTGGATTAGGAATAATAATAATAATAATGATAATGAAGTCTTATAATTTGTCAGTGCTGAATTATTTTCCTCAATACAAACATAGTTACATGCTTGCATGAATGACCCCTGGCACATTTTATGTTTTTTTTTTTCATTTGCTGTTTTTATCACTACATCTCAGAGAAAGGATGTGTGTAACTGGAATCTATTGATGATACAGTCAAAAACAACATAAAACAAAAAATCCATTTTGTTTTGTATTTTCATAAGTTCCCTATAATCTCAGGTAAGGTGTACATGTACACTGAAAACCTGCTGAAACGCAGTCATACCTACCAATGTCAAGCCAAATCATACATCCAGCTGTGCATGAGACATTGTTGACTTAATTGTAATATTTCTTTCCTGACATGATGCTCCTTTCATAGCCCATTATTACCAATGTATTGTACTGCACAGTAAACTGACACCACGTAAAACCCCCCAAATTCTTGATAGATGTAAAAGTTGAACTTGTTATGAAAAATTGTTGCTATTGATACTAGTCCGACTCTGAAGTTACGTTAATTTGCATGTATACAAGAGTCAAGGAAATTATTATGACTTGACACTGTGGGTTTCATAAGAATTCTTTCATGCAGGCTCATAATTTGCCCCAGGGGTATATGTTGGCAAGTTGTGTATTATTCAGACTAATCTGTTCTAAGTATATCTTGAGGACTGTCTGGAGGAGCGCACCTTATTTCTCTTTACTTCTGACTGGTACGGTAATTACTCAATAAATTCAGGTCAACCTATAATATAATAGCTCCCTTTGGAATGTTTTTTGAGTGAAACCTATAATGATTGAAATGCAGTTTGAGTTCATTGCAGAAAGTGCATTTTTCTGAACCACTAAAATGATAAATATTCAATTAGTGAAATATTAGAATGTTAGAAATTTATGGGTAATTACCATAGTTTGTTGTCTGTTGTTGATTATTTTTCCACCTTATATATGATATCATATATATATATATAAGGTCCACTGGTAGAATTGCCTTTATTCAAGCCATAGACTAACATGTATGTATATACAGTAGCATAAGTTGACTTTATTATCTCAAACAGGTCTGTGTAAATAAAGAGAATAAACTGCCCCAGTTCCAACTGCCATAAGTAGTCTTTTTTTTTCTTATTTGAAATCTCTTCAGTTTTGATAGCTCCATGCAAGTTAAGTAGGGCATATGCAGAAATTCTTTTTGCCCCTCTGTCTGTTGTTGGATGCCATGTTTCTGTCTCACTGCAATTAGATTAAAAACCCAATCATATCATTGTACATCTGGACGTATCTGTCTGTCTGTCCGTCCGTCTGTGTCCATCTGTCCATTGATCAAAGAGAGAGAGAGCATTTTAATTCATTCTCTTTTACAATTTTACAAATTAAAAAAAATGAAATATAGCTGTGCAATTTTGCTTTTCCATGTCCAGCAGTTCTCAGATTGGGTCTATGGAACCAAAAGCACCAAAATTAGCTAAGCATGTGATAGCGTACCCTAGATATTGCAATACCACTGCAGGTGTATTAGAAAGGGAATTTTATTTCTGTGTCTGTCTGTCTGTCACAAACTTTACTGGGGTCACCTTATTTTGAGCACAGATACCTTTGAAGACATTGTTTGTTGAGTTGTCCCCCAATTGCAGGTGTCTCATAGACTATTGTATGAATTGGCCATTGAGTCACCTTGTCCTAGATTTCAAGGTCACAGTGTTAATTTTAACAAATATCTTCTGAATTAAATGACTTGAGCAAGCTAGTAATTTAATATCCTTAATTGCTGGATGTGCCTGGCATTTTTATTTTTATTTTTCGTTTTCTTTTATTTTGTCAATTCAGGAGTTTCCATGAACGCCTTTTCTTTTTTTTCCCGTTTTTAGTGAGAAGCACATTCTGCTATAGTTTTAGCTTATACTGTCTGTCCATTCTGATTTTTTTCTTTACCAATATGTTAATATAATCCTCCCACCTCAAACCACATTTTTTCTCAGCTTCGGTGTGTGACTCTCTCTCAAATGATGATGTGAAGATGAGCAGAAGCTGAAACCTTTTTATTGTGTGAGTGAAGACCATAAATAAGATTGCTAGAACTTAGTTTTTTTGTTGAAAATATTGTGACAGAATTGTATTACCTTTTTTCTTATCTACTTGTAAACCACAGCTGTACAATCAGTGCAGCCAAAAAATACATGCCCTTCCTCAGCTGGGTTCTTTGCTGAATTATAAGTAGGTACAGAAATAGATAAACTCAGACTTGGTATACAAAAAAGCAGGAAGACATTAATTAAAATCTGGGAGTCTTATTTTTGAAAAAAAAAAGTGATCTAGATGCAGCTTGTAGGTTAAGTCAGATGACAGCAGATAAATCATGTTTGGAGAAGATAACTAAGAAAGGTTACCCTCCATACTATTAAAGGCTAATGTATAGTAGTTTGTTAACAAGTGTAGTGATTAATAATAAAGTTCAACAGTAGGTGGTTCTATTTCTTACCACATTTTGAAGTGTTACACTTACTATAACAGGTAATATTTGGCCAGGGTTCGAAAGATGGCACAGAGATTAGAATGAAAGTGTCTTGATAGATGAGTGGCTATATACATCTGCTGATGTAACTTCTTGATTCCATGAAAAAATTGCTGCAGATAGGAAAAATCCATTGCTCTTTTATTGTTGCTTTCGGTCATGTTTTACTGGAATAACTTTCGTATTTTCTTTTCATTAATGGAAATGTATTTTAAATAAGTTTACTATATGAATTTTTTGATAGAAAATAATCTGCAAATTATGAATAACTTTTTAGAGATGAAATATCAATTTAGAAATGCTTGTTATGCATAAGAGCTCATAAAGATGATACAATACAGCATAAATAACTTTGAGGTTGAAAGTAATGTGCTGGAGTGATATAATTGTTTGGAAAAAATTGTCCGCAACAGGTGATTCAGACAGTGCGTGTCGCCAGCCGGGCAGATCAAACATCTTATCCCTGGAGAATTTTTGTGGTGGCCCAACACAGTATTACTCGCAGGGCTTACCTTGTAGAAAAGATGGGGGGACAAAGCTCCCTCATATTTGTGGCTTCACAAAGTGGGCAACAAGTGAGATCATTTTACTTTGTTCTGGTTGCAAAAAAAGCTGATAAATAACCCAGACTTTGCTATTCTTTATGTTTGGGAGGTGTTACCAGGCATTTGGTGAACTTTTTTCTCGGACGGATACATATTGGTTTGATGCTACAATACCTGGCGTCATCTTTTTCTTCTCCCCACGGCAATTTTTTTTACCTTCACAGATGGAGTGAGGTCTGATCAGATGAGTCAATTTATAGAATCCACTTATGCAAGATTATGTGTGTTATGTGCTCCCAAAAAAAGAAAAGCCGGATAGATAAGACGATTATTCTGGCATATATCCTTGGCACGAGGTGAACGGAGCACATGCAGGGAAAGGGGGATGTGGTTAACGTGTTCAATCTAAGTTGACAGGAGTTTTTGCACATCTGAACAATCATCTGCACAGGTCGTAGTCAACCCCAGGTATGGGGCCCTTGGTGAGAAGGGCTGAAGGAACCTCAATGAATCTTCAAAGGTTGTCAGAACTAGATCCTTACGCTTAGTGGCAGTCGGAGAAGGAACTGAGGCTTTCATCTTAAAAGTGGCTTCCAACTGAAAGGCAACTTCTTACTGACTGGATGCTCATGCAAAATCACATGATATTTTCGTTTTCTTACTGGAAAGGAAGTCTGATTTTGTGCAGCGATATTACAGAGAGACATTCATTTGCCAGTGCTTGTGAAAACTAGGA